CACCTGTCCTGGCTCCCTTTCACTTAAAATCTTTTGAAATCCGGGTTTTTTTCAGCCTCTGCTTATTGGGAGATCTGAGTTAACACACTCTCTTATATAAATACTAAAAGACACACACATACAGAGAGAGAGAGAGAAAGAGACAGAGACATCGAGACCTAAGTGTACCAGAATTCTGGAAATCATCCAAGAGTCTGCCTTTTCCTAAAGCCTCAATAACCCTTTGGTCATCAGATCCCTCTGGTTGTTCTTTAAAAAATTTTATCTTGCCAGGCTCGGTGGCTCAGTCTGTAATCCCGCGCCTTGGGAAGCTGAGGTGAGTGTATTGCCTGAGCCCGTGGATTCGAGACCCGCCTGGGCAACTTGGCGAGACCTCATCTCTACAATAAATGAAAAAATTAGCCAGGTGTGGTAGCACGCGCCTGTAGTTCCAGCTACTTGGAAGGCTGAGGCGGAAGGATCGCCGGAGCCCAGCAGGTTGAGGTTGCGGTGGCCAGGAGCGGCCACTGCACTCCAGTCTGGGCGACAGAATGAGACTCCAACTAAAAAAAAAAAAAGAAAAAGAAATTTATCTCAACTATCCCATGGTCCCTATTTCTACTCTTTTCAGCCCATCAGAGTGACTGCAACAGGCTTTTAACTAGTTTCCTGTTTCCAACTTTGTCCCTTTCCAGCAAAGCATTTCCACATTACTTGGATTGTGTTCTTCATATAGTGAAAATACAAAAATAATTTTCTCCTCATAAAGTCCTGCAATGACTTTCCATTGCTTTGAGTAAAGTCCAAACTCCGCTTGCAGCATAAAACTAGTCATCAGGTCTGTTTTTCTTTCTAGTTCCATTTTCTCATTCCTTACTTCTCCAAATGAACCTTGAACTACCTCTACTTCCCAAATATACCATACTCTTTTTGCTGCTATACTTTTCCATAAGCTGCTCTTTTTGCCTAGAATCCATTCCCTTTCTTACTCATCAGCTGTGCTAACTTCTCTTATTCTTCCAGACCTGCCTCTTCCAGGAAACTTTTCCTGACTCTTGCAGGCGAAGTTAAGCACCTTCTTAACTACGTGTTTTCCTCATGTTGTACATGACTCTGATCATTAAATTACTGTGACAATTATGTCCAAAATCTGTACCTACTATGGTTTAGATACTCCATGATTTATCTTTCCAGTTTCCTCTCTTAGCACTTCCTCTCCATGCACCCCTCCCCTCTTGTTTCCTGAACCTACCACAGACTCTGTCATCTCTGAGTTTGCATGGAGAGTTCTCTTCTGTTTCCAGTATGCTTCTTCCTCTCACCCTGGCTTTTTTCTTGGATAATCCCTTTGTAGCCTTTAAGACTTAATTCTTATGTCTCCTCAAGGAAGCCTTTCCTGAGCTGCCAAGGTTGGATGAAGTGTGCCTCCTGAACCCTCCCTTTGCATTCTTTGTTTTTTCTTATTATAACATCGGAAACTCTAACCTCTAGCTATCTGTTTGTATCTTTTACTATTCTGTATGTTCTTCAAAGGCAGGGTGTACTGTGGGTGATTCCTCCCTATTCCCTGGTACCTCACGAAGGGGCTGCCTGATAATAACAATTTATTAAATGAAAGATCCAATGAGGGGCAGTCTAAGGTAGTAGAAAGAGCTACATCTCAGAAAGACCTTTCAGTTTAGCCACTGATTTGCTGCCATGGGTTCACGATGTTAAGAGGTGGAATCTTTAAGAGGGGGTTAGGTCCTGAGGGCTTTGCTCACATGAATGGATGAATGCAGAAGTGGGTTTGCATTGTAAGCATCTGGCCCCATTTTCCTGTCTGTTCTCATACACACATTCTTGCCCTTCTGCCATGTCATGAAGCAGTAAATAGGCTCTTACCAGATGCTGAGTTGGCTCCAATGCCATGTTCCTGGACTCCCCAGCCTCTGGTACTGTGAACCAAATAAACCTCTTTTCTTTATGAATCACTCAACCTATGGTATTCTGCTATAGCAGCAGAAAATGGACTAGGACATTTGGTATGGTAGTAAGCATTCACTTACTTTCTCTGATCTTAATTTTCCTTATTTGTAAATAGGATCGATCATATCCTCCTTCTGGGACTGTTTTAAGGATAATTGACATATAAAATGACAGGTGCACTGCTGGGACCACAGAAAGTGCTTTTAAAAAAATACCCAAGAAAGTAAAGTTTTCTTTTTTTTCCTAAGTTCCATATAATACTCTTTTGAAAAAATGTCAAACTGTGATTCCTGTTTATTCATGACTGACCTCATCCATCAGAGTCATCATCAAATAGCCAAAGTGCTATCCTTTTGCTTTGACTATTTTTCCTAAAGTTTCTCCTACAGACCTGTCTAGTAGCAGATTTTGGACCTATGACTGTAGTGCCCACTAGTGGGTCTTCTTGGGCTCTTGTAAACACTCGAACTTACAAGACTATCTTAGGCCACAGTGGTATCATTTTACTTAGGTGGGATATAGTTTAGGGACCCAGATTACCACCAAGGCAATACTAGTCCTTCCTCTTTTGTAGAGTCTAGCAGGCCATATAATTCAGGTATATTGAGATGAGATCTATGTTAGGGTAAGGATGGGAGCTTCCCTAAGTTAAAAGCTTCATGAAATTGTCCCAAAGGGGACAATTTCTCTTGTAATATTTTTATAGACATAGTTTCTAAGGTTGTGTCACAGACACACTCATGAGAAGAGTCACCACACTCAGGGAATCACCATGTAGTTTTATAGTTCACTTATAGTTCCCTCCAGTCGAGATACAATTTGCCAATCCAGAGTCTTATTTTATTTTTTTTAAATCTAAAAACACAGCTGATGCTTTTACCCTTATCAGGTTGATAAGAAGAACAGAGCTAGAAAGTTTAACTGAAGGTCAAATTCTCATGCAGAGGGAGAAAGTGTTCTGTTAACACTTTTCCTGTACTGACCCTTTCAGAAATAACTTCTGACTGAGCCAGCTTACTCACTGATCATGCTAGCAAGCCTGATCACATCTTAATTAGCACTTCCTGCTATTGAGAACCTAGCAATCTGGCATATCACACTCTGGATGGGATCTGTTACTAATTCTGGGCTTCCCACTCTTTTTGGGAACTTTTTTTTCATATCTTACTCTATATTATTTAGCCTATTTAAATATAATGTCTGTAGTATTTCAACTTCATTACTTTAATGCAGTCATGGATTTTATGAATAATTAATTGGAAATCTGTACCATAATTTTCCTTTTAGTCATGGCCTTGCTGGTTTACTCTGTTTGCCTGTCTAACTGATCTGGACATGCCTCTGTCAGTGCCCATTAGTTTTGTATAAAAAACTTAGATAAGCACCTGGGCTTCAGCTCAAGAAATTGCTTCAACTGTGCCTTCCTGTCATCTCTCTCTCTCTATCTTTTTTTTTTTTTTTTAGTGAAAAGGCAGGATTTATTGAGAGGACAGAAAAGCTCCCACAGTGAGAAGGGACCCAAAGAGGTTGTCCCTTGTAATCTGTCTTAAAGAGCTTCGTGAATTTATTTCCATCTTCTGGACCTGGTTATCATCATATCTAAGCTCTTTCTTCTTGTCTATTCCCATGTGGATTTGGTAGTAGGACTTTGTGCTATACCTTGCTCCTGATATATGCGACTGCATCCAAGATTGCACCTTGGTTTCACTTAACTGCTGGAGTTATAAGAGTGCCGTACTCTTGCTCTCACATATGGTCCTCCATCATATAATTTGCCAGGAATACAATGCCCTTTACTATCTGAGCAAGTATGGAGAAATCATGCAATGAGATGCCTAGCTATTTGGCTCACAAAACTAGAACTAAACCATTGCTGGTTACTTTGTACCAAGGTACTTTTGTTGTTGTTGTTTTTGAGTTGGAATCTCACTCTGACATCCAGGCTACAGTGCAGTGACATAGTCACAGCTACCACATCCTTGAACACTGGGCTCAAGTGGTCCTTCTACCTCAGACTCCAGAGTAGCTGGGACTATAGGCATATGCCACCATGCCTGGCTAATTTTTTGATTTATTGTAGAGACAAGGTCTCACCACATTGCCAAGGCTGATCTCGAACTCCTGGGCTCAGGCAATCCTCTTGCCTTAGCCTCCCAAAGTGCTGGGATTACAGGCATGAGCTATGACACTTGCCCTCATACCAGGGTACTTTGACAGGCAGTTAAGTGCCTAAGAAATAGCCACATGTGATCTAAACATAAACCCAGATGTATGAAGGAAGCACATGAAAGGGCTGGCTTATTTTTCCCCCTAAGCAAAAACAGAACACAACAAATGATTATGGTATAAGTCTATGTATGTAGACAGAGAATGCAAAACAAAGAAATCATGAAAGAATGGGATTAATTGAGAAAGGTTTTCTCGGGGTGGCATCAGGTCCTTGAACTTGATCTGTTGGATAACTGTAGATCACTGTAGGTGTCAAAGGTTAAAGGAGTGGCATTGATGTGGTCAGAATGATAGTTGGAGAAAATGGCCACAGCAGCAACACATTAGAGGAGAGAGAAAAATTGTATTCTGATAGTCCACGGGCATGTGGATGGCAGTAGGTGGCCAGGAAGGAGGCATGGGGATTGCCACCATATTCTGGCACTAGGAGTAAAAACATGTTCAGTGTGAAATAGAGGTAGAAACAGTGGTGAGCTGGAGCTCTCTAATTTGAATTTGAAGTCCTTAGAGCCTGCTGTGATTCTTGCTTTTTCACCTTCCTGCTGTTGGAGGAGTGGACTCTCAGTTTCACTTGGGATTTTTTAATTAGGCATTTCTAAGAAAAACAGGATATGAATGAAGAAATCGCAATGCAATCCTTGGAAGATTTGCATCTCAGTAAAAGCAGCTGACTCTTAGACCATGAATGGCTCATTTGTCATGCTGGGGAGAAATTAAAAAGGAGTTGTCCTTTCTGGCTGGATGCTGCTGCCTGCTTATACATTTCAATATTTCTCCTGCCTCCACCATCAGCACCACAACTACTGAATCTTCAATGAGTAAAGATGCTTCTGGTGTTCTATTTCTTTGCTGTTATTGTCTCAGTTATTTTTAATTTTGTAGGAATTACTGTAAACCTGTTTATTACAGTGGTCAATTATAAAACTTGGGTCAAAAGCCACAGAATCTCCTTTTCTGATAGAATCCTGTTCAGCTTGGGCGTCACCAGATGTCTTATGCTGGGGTTGTTTCTACTGAATGTTATCTATTTCAACTCTTCACATCTTAAAAGGTCAGTCTACATGTCCACATTTTTAATGTTGAGTTGGATGTTTTTGGACTCCAGTAGTCTTTGGTTTGTGACCTTGCTCAACAGCTTTTATTGTGTGAAGATTACTAACTTCCAACACTCAGTGTTTCTGCTGCTGAAACGGAACCTCTCCTCAAAGACCTCCAGGTTGCTGCTGGTCTGTGTGATGATTTCTGCCTTCACCACTCTCCTATATGTTGTGCTCAACCAGATGTCACCTCTTCCTGAACTTGTGACTGGGAGAAATGGCACATTATCTGACATCAGCAAGAATGTCTTATCTTTGGCAGCCTCTTTGTTCTTGAGCTCATTTTTCCAATTTGTCATTAATGTGACTTCTGCCTCCTTGTTAATATATTCCTTGAGGGGACATATACGGAAAATGCAGAGAAGCGCCACTGGTTTTTGGAATCCCCAGACAGAAGCTCATGTAGGTGCTATGAAGTTGATGATCTACTTCCTCATCCTCTACATTCCTTATTCTGTTGCCGCCCTGCTCCTTTATGTCCCTTTTCATGTAGGGTTGGACCTTGAGACCAGAGCCATTTGTATGATTTTTGCCACCCTTTACTCTCCAGGACATTCAGTTCTCATTATTATCACACATCCTAAACTGAAAACAAAAGCAAAAAGGATTCTTTGCCTCAAAAACTAATGGAATTTCAGTAGTAAAGACTGTCTAGATTCACCTCATAGTTTAAGAGCAAGATTTTCTCTGTTAGCAGTCTTTCCAGTGGTTCAAGGGATTCATTATGTGATTGTAGATCTGCTATTCTAGGCCTTTGAGAGTCTGTGTTTCAGTTTATTCTGTATTTTTTTTGCTCGTATTTTCATTTATTCTCTAAGGTACTTGTTGAGTTATTACTTATTTATTTTGCCAGGCCATTGCATCCCTGGAAAATGGAAATTTCTATGTTGTTCCAAATGAAATATAATGGGAAGTTCTACCAAATTGAGGACTACATTGTGCAGGTGATTAGTTAAATATCTGTGGTTTAGCTGAGGAGCCCTGTTAAGCATTCAGCAATGGTTGACTGGTCATTGGGACTGACTAGTCTGGACTAAAGCAAAGGAGTGCAGTGCAAAGGAAAAAGAAAAAGAAAGGTTTCAGACAGAAAAGAAGGAAAGAAAAAGGTGAGAGAAAGAAGGAAAGGAAATAGGTGTCCATGATGGGACAAGACAGAAACAAGGGTCCTTACACTTGCTAGGTGGCAGTAACTGAACTATTACTACCAAGAAGCGCTAGGACTGAATTCGTAGGCTTGTTCTGGAAAGGAGGAAAGGGCGAGGGCTGGCAGGTAGAGGGAAGTGATTAGTATTAAGGAAGTTGAATCCAGAATGGTGCCAAGGATCTTAAAATTCAGGGAACTAGTCCAAGGTTGATAACCAGTGCCAAATAGTGAAATGAATGCCAAATTTATAAAATGCTGTACCTCACCATAGGACATGGAATTCAAGGGAAAGCCAAAGGAGTCAGTGAACTGATAGTGGTAGCACTTGACTTTTGGTGAGTTTATTTTGTCTGTTTATGCACAGTTCTTCTCCAGAATGCTGTTTCTGGGGTTGAGACAGTAGGACTGTGGCTCCAAAGGAATAGGAATGTGAAGACGGGATGTTGACAAGTTTTGGAATAGAAATTGGAGAAAAATAATTTGTGTTTATGTAGTTTTTTTGGTGTTCATAAAATGCTTATGTAATATTCACATATCTCAAAGTAAAGAAATCTTCAAACTTTACAAATTGCCCAACTTCTCATTCTGGCCAACAGACTTTTGACTACAATATTCAGTAAGGATTATCCAAACTATTATTTTATACTGCAAAACATGGAGATATTTATCTTGTTAGAATCTTAAGATTAAGAGATAAGAGGATTCCTGAGAGTGATTAAATGTACACTCTGTCATAAGAACTCTAAATGAATGGCAGAAACCCACATTGTTTCCCCAAATCTGTTCTCTGTCCTCTTTCCATTGTAATCAAATTGGTAGCTGCACCAAATTGCCTTTTACAGTGTAAATTCCTCTTGTAAGTAGATATTTCCTTGTGCTTAAGTTCTGCTGATGGCATGTGAATAGAAGTAATGCATGTATTTCCAGTGGTGGCCCAAGCAGGCATGCCCTGTCTTTCCCATTCCCCTTTTCTTTTTTCTTTTACCCATGAGCTGGAATGATGATGTCATTATTGTCATCTTGGACCACGCAGATGAGGTGAATTCTTGGGGACAGTATAGTAATTCTCTGTCCTAAAGTTGACTCCATGGTTTTTGATATGCTAGAGTTGCCATGCCAGCTCCAGACTGCTCAAGCCTGAACTCCATGACTGTTCATGAGAAATAAACATCTCCATTCTTTCAGACATTGGATTTTTGATCTCTGTTACCTTAGTCAAATAATTTATGTAATACCTTAAGTGTATACAATAATATAAAGGATGCCAAAAAAGTATACACATTTTAAGAAAGGAAAAAATTATATTATAATTAAAAGGTAAATATAAGTCACATTTGACTTCTGCAGTTACAAGAAGTGCTCAAAATGGTTACCATATAATCAGATACTTCTGATTACAGCAAACTACAAGTAATCCATAGGTAACATCTCTTTTTTGGCACCCCATTATATATCTTTATGATGAAATAGTATGTAATTATTTACTATCTCATGGTCAAAGAACATTTTTATATGCCTTACTAAATGAAATCAAAATCAAAATATGTATATGTAGAATAATGACAATTTTTGTAAAAATATGTATATATGATGAAAAATCTAGAAGGAAATATATAAAACTGTAAACAGCAAATTTTTTTAGGTGGGGAGGTTTTGAGTACTTTTAAAAAACATTTCCAAGTTTTCTATAATGTATATTTTCATATAATCAGAAAAACATAATTTAAATACATATAGTCTATACACTCATCTATCTCCCTATCTACCTACCAACTTATCTATGCATAGATGGGAGTTCTGATGTCAACATTCAGTTTCTCCTCACTAACATAGGTAAATGAGTAGTCTTTCTTCTGCTTCTCTGGATAATTTTCTTGTATTGGCAAAGTTCTGCCAATTAGTTCCTTGGTTGTCCTATACTGTCTTCATTTTTTTCCTCACCTAGGTTGGATGTGCTGTCTTTGTAGTAGAACTTCTTTGCTATTTGAAGAAAGTCTTGAGTCTTAGGAACTTGCTCAAAGTCTTCCTTGGGTATAGTTCCTTATGGGTTTGGAGTTTTGTGATAGTTATAATTCAGAGGCACTTCTATTTAACTTTTAAATGCTACAAACGCAATCATGTATGAGCTACATATCCTTTCTTTTTGAGTCAGGGTCTCACTCTGTTGCCCAGGCTAGAGTGCAGTGGCACAGTCATGGCTCACTGCAGCCTTGACCTCCTGGGCTCAGGCGATCCTTCTGCCTCAGCCTCACAAGTGGCTGGGACTACAGTTGCATGCCACCACTTCTGGCTAACTGTTTTTAGAGATGAGGTCTTGTATGTTGCCCAAGCTGATCTTGAACTCCTGGGTTCAAGCAATCCTCCCAGTGCTGGGATTACAGGTGTGAGCCTCTGCACCCAGCTGACATTTTCATATATTATTAGTTCATCCTAGCTGTTATGGTAATGTAGGTTTTACTATATTCATTATATAGTTGAGAAAATTAAAGCACAAAGAAGCTATGTAATGGTTCGTGATAGTAGAACTAGGAAGAGTAGATTCAGAGCTCCAGTGATAGTTTATGACTTTAAAATTCTTTTTCCACTGTGTCACAAGGTGAGCAGAAAGACATAGGGACAAAATGGGATCACACCCAATTAAACAGCTTTATTTTCCAGGACAAGAAGAAAATATTCAAAGTGCTGTCTAAAGCATGTCCAGCCTGAACACCCACCCAGGACTGCTGAGGTATATATGAAGGGGACCCCCCCCAATAAAAACCCAGGGTTATCTTTTGGAGCTTGGGCCTCTTGTAATACAAGCTTCCCCTACTAGGAAAGTGTTCTAGGAACTCACTGGCATCAGTGTACCAGCTAGTGTTGTTTTGAGAAGCTGTGTTTGGCTTCAGTTAATTTTTTTTTGAGATTCTTTCAGTGCGTTTGCCTGTTTCATGATGGGTGAGTTACAAGCACACCCATCCACTCCATGCTGAATGTTCAACAGTTTTTGACAAAAAACGGCATGACCTTCATGGACCATCCTCTCTATTCACCTGATCTCATCCAAGCGACTGTTTTTGCTTCTGTGGATGAAAAGAGTCCTCAAAGGGAAACGCTTCACCAGTGTCGAAGACATGAAACAAAAAGCACCAGAAGCACTAAAAGGCATCAAAATTGACAAATTCAATAACTGTTCTGAGAATTGGAAAAAGCATCTTGATAGGTGTATTGCATCAAACCAAGAGTACTGTGAAGGTGACTGAAGTAATATCAATATGTTTGAATAAATACACATTTTTAAATAAATAAATTTGGGTTTTTAATAATAAATAGACTCAGTAAGTTTTCTTTAAAAGTTTTCATGTTTTCTTTAAAAGTACTAATTTAGTTCACACCCCTCATTGTCAAGATTGGATCAGAGGTGCTGAGAGATGGCATGACTTACCAGAGCTACCAGGTATATACGAGGGGGAATAAGAATAAATAAATACACATTTCTGTAATAAATACACATTTTTAAATAAATAAATTCAGGTTTTTTTGGGTAAGAGGCAAAGAATTGCACAGAAATTAGATTGGAAAAATAGTTTATTTAAAGAGTAGATTAAGTCAGGCTCAGTGGCTCAGCCTGTAATCCCAGCACTTTGGGAGGCCAAGGTCGAGGCGAACGGATTGCCTGAGCCCATGGGTTCGAGACCCAGGCAACTTGGCAAGACCTCATCTCTACAATAAATAAAAAATTAGCTGGGTGTGGTAGCGTGCACTTGTATTTCCAGCTACTTGGAAAGCTGAAGTGGAAGGATTGCCAGAGCCCAGCAGGTTCAAGGCTGTGGTGGCTGGAGGCGTGCCACTGCACTCCAGTCTGGGCGACAGAGTGAGACTCCAACTAAAAAGAAAAGTAGGTGTGTGTGTGTGTGTGTGTGTGTGTGTGTGTGTGTGTGTGTGTGTGTGTGTGAGAGAGAGAGAGAGAGAGAGAGAGAGAGAGAGAGAGAGAGAGAAAGACAGAGACAGAGAGAGACGGTGAATCCACTTCTCAAGGGAGAGAAGGGAGACAGGTGTCTGGTGTCTGGAGAAAACATGGTGGTTAGTGCTTGGGACTCAATACTTTTAAAACTTCTTTTGTGGGTGGGAGGGGGAAGCATTCATAGGAGCTGATGTCATGGTGATGGACAGCAGGTGGATAGGTGTGTCAGTCTCTTAGATGAGAAGGGCAGGTAAGCACAGGAACTGTTGCCATGGTGATGGGGTGGTTGTCTATTCACATAGGTCACAAAGGGCTGGTCACAATAAATTCAGTTAACTTGGCCCTTTATGGCAGGAAGACAAATACCTTGGATAAAAGTATTTAGTTAGTACAAAGCATGCTTGGCAGGGAAGGTGGTTGCTAGATAATCATCAGTGATTACCTCTAACTGGTCTTGTCTCTTGTTAATGATTAGAGGGCAAGTTAAAATAAAATGCTAAATGTGAATTGCCTGAGCCCCTGGGTTCGAGACCCGCCTGG